CGGGCCTGACAAGGCCATGCAGGTGCAGCTCCTGCTCCACCTATTTCTAAAAGGTCTGATGGCATGAGGGGACTCCTGAGAGAGCCGATGTCCCCACAGGGTCCCCAAGCCTTGCTCCCACCGGGGGGAGCCTCTGATGGACGGGGGCAGGGTACCAAGTGGGGTGTCCTTTTCGTCTGGCAATCAAAGGAAGGGAGAGGAGATACAAATGCCCCATTACTGGCACAGCTTCTCGTGTCCCTGCGGTATTTTCTCGAGCGGCAGCCTGTCCTCGCAAAAGGAGGAGTCGGGAAGCGGCACTGGAGGCACGACGGGCAGGAACCAGCACAGCCCTTCCCCACATCCCACCCGCGCCGAGGAAGAGGAGAGCCCGTGGTACCCCGGCTGCCTTTACCTCTGGTGTGACCCCGATGAGAAGAAAAAAATTAAAAAGAAAAAATAAAAAAGAAACCAAAGGGAAAAAAATCACCAAAAAGTTCCCTGGCCCGCCTGTACCCCCGCATCTCCCTGGCTCCTTCCCGTACTCGAGCCGAGCGCTGCGGCAGAGCGCGGGGGCAAAGCGGGGCCGCTCCCCGTGCCCGCCCCCGCCACCCCGCGGGGCCCCCACGTCTGCACCGGCACCGGCACCGGCATCGGCACCGGCACCGGCCCGGCCCGGCCCAGGTCCCGCAGCCCTCGCCTCCTCAACCCTCCCGACAGCTCTGCTGCCGCAGCCACCAAAGTTTTTATTCGCGTCTTCGTTATCTCCAAACTGATCAAGTGGCCAAAAACAAACAAGAAAAGTCTTTTTAATGTAAGGGTTGCTCACCTGATGCAGTAAAGATCAGTTCTCAGAGCAAAGGGCTTCTACTTCCAGCAAAATCTGGTTCCCCGACTTACTCAGCCGGAAGAGCGAGCACCATTAGCTGCTTTACATAGACTTTTTTAAGTCTGTGTCAAAGGCGTTTGATGTAGAGCACAAAGATGCACCTTGCGCGCTTCTGTCAACAGCCAGCCCGAGGCTGGGGCTTGGGTGCTACGTGTCCAACTCCCCAACAGAAGAAAAGTTAGGATTTTTCTTTTTACTCAACATTTATTACCTTTTTTCAAAGTTTCAACCCTTGGCCATTCGACAAATCTTTTTCAAAACGGTTTTAGATTTAAAAGGAAACAGTTTGAGTTGTGTTTTGACCCGATCGCCGCTCTGCGTTTATTTCTTGTAACACAAAATAAAAGTTACATCGAACCGGTTCTCCGACAAGTAGTCGGAGCCCTGGGGCTGAGAGGGGTTCTGGGCCGTGCTCCCGCTGCCAGGACCCTCTCCGGGCTCGGAGGGAGCTCCCGCAGGTACAGCCCGCCGCCTCCCCCGGGACTCCGCCGGCGGCCTCGGACGCGGCTCAGGGCGGGAGGGTGACCGGGGCATGGCCGGTCCCCATAGCCCTCACAGCCGCCACCGATCGGGACAAATGATGGACGGGCAGAGCTCCTACCTCCGCTCAGCCACTCGCTAGCGCTGCCTCGGACCTTGCCCGACGGGGAGGGAGAGGAGAGGTGGGTGCCTGGAAGTATTCACTGTAAACCACTGTGCTATTCACTCGCTTAACTCCGCCGTGGTCTCGACCACCGCAGAGAAGAACGGAGGGAGCTCGGCCTCCGGCCTCCGACCCCCGGCACGGCCGTCTGGCTCCCAGCGCCCTTCGGCGGGGCGGACGCGGCGCTCCGTGCCCGGGAGAAGCGCATCTGCCCCCGGCCGGAGCCGAGAGCCCCCCGCACCCACGGCCCTCCGAGCGGAGGGGAGGGCAGCCGAGCTCTCTTGTAAAGCTCCCAGCCGTCGGAACCCGCAAGATAAACATCATTAGAAATCATTGTAATTGGGATTGTGAAATCTGACCTCTGACCCTCCGGGCTACGTGTCACAACCGTGTCTGCTTTGATTCCTCGAAAGGCGGCACAAAGGAACAAGTTCCGTGACAGGAGGCAGCGGGATCTGCGCCCCGGCCGGAGGGGACCGACGGGGGGGACCACGCGTGGCCTTCCCCTCCTCCCCCGTGCCTCATTTGCATATGCAAATCAGCATCCCGCCGGGGGGTGGTCGTCGGGCCAGGGCCGGGGGTGTGGAACGATTGTGACCGATTCGAGGGGTGCCTTGGATGGAGAAATAAGCGTCGGTGCGTCCTTCCGCCAGCGGAGGGAGGACGGGGGTGCTGGGGGTGTCTGTGGGTGTTCACTGATGTTCACACCCCACAAAGGGGCCGCTGCCTCCCGAGAGCCGGGCTATGGGGAACAGACCCCCGGGGCACGCAGGAAGGAGGGGCAGGGTGGTGCTTTGCCTCCAGGCCTTTCCGCCTGGGCTAGCGGGTGCTCTTCCTGGCACTTGGGCTCCCCAGTCCCGCCCGTCCGCCCAGCGCTCAGCATTCCTCTCCGGCCGGGGCCCGGTGCGCGTCCTCGCCTCCCCCCGCCGCTCCGCGCACACCTGGTCCCTTCCCTACGGGGAGGATGTTGAGCCTTCTGCTCTTATTTCTCAGTGCTGGGCCCCGGGTGAAGGTTTTCCCCCCTATTCCCCGTGGGCCTGTTTGCCCTCGACACCCACAGGGGACCGAGGTCACTCGTGGAGCCAGCGAGGACAGACCTGGACCTCGCCGGCCTGCACCGATTCACCAATGTGCCCTGCTCAGCTGCTCTCCATGAGAAATCCTAGCAGCGTAATTACACTAAAAAGTCTGGTTTGTTTAAATAATCCTCTTTAGGCTTCCTTTAATCTGCCCTATATTTCCCTCGTCGGCTTTATTCCTGACTTGTCCAGCTCAGATGAGTCTGGTTGGACAACCCGCGGCAGAGGAAACTCTTCTTCATCTTCCTCCTCCTCTGGAGCCCCCAAGCCTCCGGGCAACCCCAGCACCCCGGAGCCGGCTCCCGGCCGCAGGTGGGCAGCAGTCCCGGGTCTGGCGAGGGGAACGGCAGGAAGAGCCGGCAGCCCTGCCCGACCCACGCCGAGAGCCAGCCTGAGCATCACCAGTGTCCTGCGGACAGGGCAAGCCAAGCGGGTCGGTGCCCTATACCCCGGGCAGGTCCAGACCAGATCCGGCCCGGGAATGTTCTTGGGGAGAATGGTTACTCGATTTTTAAGGAGAAATGCCATTTTTCGCCTGTCCAGCTCCAGGGGAGTGCGAGACGGCGTGTATGGCAAAGGCAGAGGATTGAGCTGAGAGCGGAGCGGGCGGGAGGAGGGGAGCAATCTCCCCGTGTGCCCTCGACAGCGGCCACTGAAGGGGGGCCTCGGAGGGAGCCTGAACGCGGCCCCCGAACTCTGCAGCTGCCCCGCCGGTCCGGGCTCTCGCCGACCACTTTCCCCACGAGTGGTGGAAACTCGCACTTTGAAGGACGGCTTTATTTTCCTCAGTGCAGAAGATATGAGTTCATGTTCCAATCCCATCGGAAAAAAAAAAAATAAAAGGGAGAGAGAAAGAAATACACAACTTTAGATGGCGCTGTACAACATTTATTTAAGCCCTCCGAGTATTCCCGGCTCCTCGGCCTGCAGAGAGAAGAGCCCTCGGCGGGCAGAGGCGGGCTGGGCTGGGCGGGGATGGGGTGGGATACGATGGGGTAGGTTGGAGTGGGATGAGGTGTAGGAGGGGTCCTGCCCCACCGGCAATGGGCACGGAGGGCAGGGGGCTCTCTCCCCAGCCTGCGCCTCCATCCTCGGTGATAGCAAACCGCAGCTCTGAGAAGGAAAAGTTAAAAAGCACGAAAATGGCAGAAGCCATCATCCCCACTGCTGCCCTTTTCAAATAGACAGAAAACCCCTAATGCCTCCGAGGGGACGAGGAGAGGGGAGCTGCAGGCTCCGCCGACCGAGAGTGCTGTTGCTTGCCCCCTCCCGCCCTCCGGTCCCACTGACCTGCGCATGGCCTCGGCATCGCCCCATCCTCCGGGGAGATGCAGGAGAAGGGTCCATCCCCCGGCTCCAGCTCTGCTCGCTTGTCCTCTTCGCCCTGCCGGCCGCGGGCCTAGGGCAGGGATGGAGAGCAGCAGAAAGAGGAGAAGGAAAGCCGACAGACGGCCTGGTGGAGGGGGACGGGCGGCTCTCCACCCGCCGCGTGCCCGGTTCCATCAGGGTCAGTGCGGAGGGGAATCCTGTCCCCTGCCCTCAGCTCGGCTCGGCCCCACGCAAGGCCCGCGTGGGCTCGGACCCGGCGATCCTCGACGGCTCGGGGACAAGGCCGTGGGCATGGCCCGGTCCCGTCCGTGTGCCCCGGCCGGCGGCCAAGAGAGCCGAGCCGGGACTGGGCACGGCCGGCTTTTAACCGGGGCGGTGGGAAAGCGGAGCGGGCCCGCAGCCCCGGGAGCTCCGCCGTGCCGCCGACCCTCCGCCACCCGCGCGTCCCACGGTAAACGCGAGCCCGAGCCCTGCCGGGGGAGCGGAGGGCAGGGACCGGCACCGGGAGCGCTCCCGGAGCGAGGACGCAGCGCCCGGCGCCGAGTGCCGATCGCTCCGGTCCGAGCCTCGGGAGAGGTCCCCGCTGCAAACAGCGTGGGAGCAGATCCTCTCGCAGAGAGGCGAGGAGCTGTCAGACAAATATCCTTCCAACACATCCCGGAGCCCTGAGTATCCAGACAATTTCAGGCAATTTTTCAGCGGGAACTTGTATCACCATTATTATGAGGTGGTTTTAATTTCTGGTTAAAAAGGGAGATGCGGGAGGTGAAGTACGACCGCAATTGCCAAAGAGAATTAATTATTTTTAAAGGGTAGAAAAATTAAAAATAATTTTTTTTTTAAATCGAAGGTCTAAGGGTTTTGAACAAGGGATGAGTAGTTTAAAAATTGCTGCATCTATCGAAAGCAAACCCTAAATATGCCACCAAAATGGCACTATGTACACAGCGTATGGTGTATGTATATATACATTTATTTATTATATTTTTACGTATATATATATATATATATAAATATATATATATATATATATATATGCAAACATCCATACACTAAAATAAAGAATTACAGCCAGCCTGGATCCTGAACACAGTCTACACTTTATTTCAGACTACAGATTTCTGAACATAATAAAATCTTTGGCTTGTAGCGGCGGGTTCAGTCTCGCAGTCTGTGGATCAGAATTTTTTTTCTTCGGGGAAAAAAAAAATAGAGACAGAAATTCACACACACACAAAAAAAAATAAAATAAGATCAAACGACAGATGAGAAAAGTCTGACATTTACTGTAAAACAGGAGCAACGGACATGGGGAGGAGGAAAGAAAAAAACGGAAAGCAAACAAAACGAACAAAACGAACAAAAGAAAGGAGAAACAGAGAGAAGGGAAGAGAGAAACTGTCCAGCAAATAGAGATCGCTACACATATTTCTTACCTGAAATTAAATATATACAAGGTCATATGCTGTTTGGCTATATAGAGATAATTTTTCTTAAGTGTTCATATGTTTTTTTTTCTTAATCGGAGTCCTTATACTATGGATAGACAATAGATCTGCTTTTAAATCGCACCTGTCCGCCTCCCGGCCGGCGGGCCGGCGCCGCGGCGCAGGGCTGGGCTGGGGCGCCCGCCTCACTCGCTCTCCTCTTTGTCCTGCACCGTGGTGGTGGAGTGGTTGTAGAGTCCCTGGGCCATGAGGTGCAGCGCCAGCCCGTTCTTAATGCCCGTCGCCTTCTTGATTTTGGCCCGTTTGTTCTGGAACCAGATCTTGATCTGGGACTCGTTGAGGCTGAGCTCCTGGGCCAGGCTCTGCCGCCGCTGCTCCGTGATGTACCGGTTCGCCTGGAACTCCGCCTTCAGCCGCTGCAGCTGCTCGGCCGTGAACGCCGT